TAATTTGCAACATTAACAAGATAGAATCAGGAATTGCAACTTTCGTATTTTGCATATGGTTTTATGGTTCAATTAAGGTACATAAAATTAGTTTTTTGATGATGAACTACCGGAGTACATTATTACAAGTTTAATTAAGTTACTTTAAAATCCCATTTTTATATAAATTGAATGATCTTTAAAAAGTTGTAGCTTTGAGCCCCGCAAATTTAGGGGCCCCCAAAAATTTTAGAGGACTTTTTTTTTTTTAGTCTTTTTTAGGCTCTGGCCCATAAAAAGGCCTCCAAAAGCAAAGTAGCCCCGGGCCCCAAGAAGTCTTAATCCGCCACTGAAGCCAAGCATATGTTTTTATAATGTTATAAAAAGAGAAAACAAAGTATTGTTTACTTTTTACAAATTCATAAAACTGCAGATAAAACAACAAATCATCTTCACTAAAGATAGTTGTTGCTTTATTACATAATTGATAAATAAATTATTATAAACAGTTAATATCTTAACAAGTTCATCCGATTTCGAGCTTTTGATGTTTGTTTCCAAACAGAAACTTTGCTTAAGATAAATGCTGGTTTTCTTTATACAGCAAGCATTAAGAAATTACTTTATAAAACAACATCTTGCAAATTTTATTTAATAAAACATCGCTTTGCTCTAAAGCCATTCGGACATAATAACAAAAGTCAGACGTCATAAATAGGGCACTTTAAAAACTTTACATGCGCTAACTGCAAGCCAATTATGCAAAGGTAGATGATTCAATATCTTTTTTTTTTTAAGCTGATTAAGGTGCCCCAAGAAGTCCTTACGGTCTTATCACAGAGCACCACGGAATAGCATTTAATAGGAAGTTCACGCCTCCTTCCCAACCGATGTCGCAAAACTTGTCCAGAGGTAGGGTTTGAACCATGGATCTTACGTTTCTGAGGCAAGTGCGCTGCCACTGCGCCACGGCTGCTTTAGCGTAAAGTTAGGTGACGTAATATTTATTTTTTGACGAATAATTTTAATAAATTGACGAATTTAAGGTGCGAAAAGTATTACTAAATTATTTGTTTTATGCATACTCAATGCGACAAAGGCGTAAAAAGAGAAAAATTTTTAAACTAATCCAATTAGTTATTAGTCGTAAACCGAAAAACTTTTTATTTATCGGTATTTAATTTATGCAAACAAAGAATTCGAATTAAAAGTAATTTATAAAGTTTACCGCCTCTGTTTTTTAATTGTTTACGCAATCTAAACAATTTATTATTTACGCATTCTGAACTATTTGTTAGTTACGCATTCCGAACAATTTATAATTTAAAGATGCCCGAATAAGTCCCGTGTATTTCAAAAAATAATACTTAATACCTAAAACAGTTTTTTAAATGGGGCTAAAAGTTATAGTTATTTATGCAAAAACGACTTTGGTAGAAAAATTAACACTACTATAGGTTCTAAATCTAAATCTAACATGACATTATTGTTAATCATACTCATTTAGGTGTGGTATTGAAAATAATAACTTCAATTTTCATAAAAAAATGGTTTTTCATGGATAATTCTCCCAAATAATATCTGATTAGAAATGTCAAGTTAATTCATTGAAAACAAAAACCAATACGTGCTTTTATGAAAAAATCAAATTCATAGGCTTATCTATAGCCAAGCCCCAAGGTACTTTATGTTGAAAATTGCATCTTTTATAAATAAAACTACGCTTGACGATTTGTTATAGTCGCATTACTTTTACCAGATTATAATAGTAGTTAAAATAATCTTTCCATACATATCAAATATGTCATACTTTTTGATAAAAAACTTACATATATTGTAATTAAAAAAACTTATATTTTTGTTCGGAAAAACGTGTATCATGCCTTAGTTGCATTGAGTAATGCATTAAATACCTATCAAATAAATATTTACCAAAATATCTTATTCATGCTAAAATACAAACTCGGACTTGTTCCGAAATACTTTACTGATAGCTTTTTTCATATCAACGCAAACAAATATATCACACGAGGAACAGGCAACTTCACCCTGCCTTTGAAAAAAACAAAATTTTCGCGGTTTTCTTTAATATACCGTGGCCCATACTTACATAACAAAATAATACTTCAAAATATGGAACTTAATAAAATGGATAACCTTATTGCTCTGAAAAAAAAACTAAAACATATCATAATTAACTTAACCAACTTCATCGATATGTATTAAACAATTTGTGAAAAATAGTAATAATAAAAAGCCCTACTACTTCTACTATATAGTAGATACCAAAATACTTATGTGTATTTGTTGAACTTGTTCATTAAAGTTTATTTTATGTTTTAAAGGTTCTCGATGAAAAGACTATTTTAGTCTTCTGCGAGTTTCCTTACAACAAAGAAAACTATTTTTTAAGAATAATTTTATATATATATATATTCAACAACGTGCACAAGCAAGTCCCTAGTAGCCCTGTGGTACGACGGACTTGCGTATATTTTTTAAATGCATGGGTTAATAGGAAGCACTTTTCATTATAAACAACGAATAGTTACCTTATTTTGTACACTGTACAACGCGCATGCGCTAAACAGAATTTTGAATTTCTTTTGTCTTGTAAAAATTTTAATGGTACAAAAATTGTTTAATTGTACGTTTTGCACTTATATGTAAAAATATGTAATTTTGTTTTATTGAAATAAATACGGATACTTGTGTTGTAATAGTTTTAAATACTATGACTATGATTTATGCAATGGTTTTATGTGAATATTTAATTACCGGTCATGCGTGATAAAATGCTTTTTAGGGTTGTTCACGAAAGCCAAAGTTGAATTTTCGATTAAAAAAAAAGTTTTCGAAACTCTATTTTCGTTTCGGTAAGTTCGAAATAATTTTAAAGTAATTAATTTTGCATCGAAACGATTTTTTTACTTTCGAAGTTGTAAAATTTGCTTCGAAATATTTTTGCGATTTCGAAATTCTGAAAATATTGTCGAAATAATTTTTTACTTTCGAAAATGTAAAATTTGCTTCGAAATATATTTGCGATTTCGAAAATCGGAAAATATTACCGAAAAAATTTTTTACTTTCGAAAATGTAAAATTTGCTTCGAAATATATTTGCGATTTCGAAAATCGGAAAATATTACCGAAAAAATTTTTTACTTTCGAAATTGTAAAATTTGCTTCGAAATATTTTTGTGATATCGAAATTCTGAAAAGATTACACAATATTACTATTAAATTCTAAAATTTGCTTATATTTATTTTATTACTGAAATTGTACAAAATTTTATTAAAATATTTTTATAAATAATTAAATTTTAAAAATTAACATAAAATAATACTTAAAATTTTTGGTGTTACGGCCAGAGAAAAGGGTTTAACTACCTCCCACTATTTTATAGAAGAATCTGCAATTAATTTAATAATAACTCAGGGATCGTTCGCAAATCACCTCACATATTTAAGCCTAGCGTGGTTTCGGATTTTGTGACACTTTGGGGAGCTTTTTTATTTTTAGTAACAGGTTTTTTTAAATTTTGGGGCCCTAATGACTTTTTTAGTGTAAACGCTGTATACACTGGTTTGATAATGGCTCTCTGAAATGCCAGTCCTGGCTAGCCGTAAAACGAGTATTGCTGAGCAGCGCAAGTATTATTGCCGAAGCGTAACATCAGACATCTGACCAATATATGTGTTTATATGTATTGTTTGCACTGATAAGTCCATAGACGTAGAGTTTTTATTTTTCCAGATTGGGCTCAAACAGTGGCGTCAATTCAGAAAAAACTTATAAGGAGGGGCCAATTTGTGAAAACAATTTAACTCTTTCCCCCCCCCCCCCCCCCTTCACAAACCAAAATCATAACATTGAGCAGCACAATTCAATTTTGTTTCTTGGGTATTTTGTTAAAAACTTTACTTTAAAAACTTACTCTAAATATATAGAAAATAATACTATTTTTGCTACTTTTTAAAAGAAACTGCTACCAAAAAGCAAGGATATACTCACAGCCGTGGATAGGCTCCCCACGCTCCTCCTTAATTGGGGGGGGGGGGACAAATTTAGGGGGTCTTTTTCAAATTTTTGAGGGCCTTTTACCGAATTTGCCCCATGGACATCTGCTGCCCGGGACAAACAATACCTTCCCCTTCACCTCTCTCGCCTGATTAGATTAAGCTTCATGACTTTTTACTTTTATAAAATTATTTTTAGGGATTATATTTACCCTCACCAAAAGCTTGAATAGCCTTTTTGATAGCTTGAATAGCGTTAAAAAAATAAAAAGTTTTTTTTGCGCGTCGTTTTGATTGCATAAAAATTTCTTTTGAAAATACTTTTTTTATTTCGAAAACACAACGTTTAAAAATCAAAGTAAATTTGAAAGAAAAGTTGCGTAACTTTAGACACTTTAGAAGAGTCTGTAAGGAATTTTATTTGTAATATCTGTAAATTTTTAAAAATAAAGTAGAAGGTCAGCTTAAAAAAATTAGCAAAAACTAAATTATTTTTCGAATTTTTCTCTAAAATCCTATAAAGATTATCTGGTTAAACAAGAAATATAGAATTTTGACAGTCCCTTCTAAGAACGCATAGTTTACAGCACGCACATAAGTCATTATTATTCCTCAACGGCAATTCCCTTGAGGTCTTAAACGCATGACATGAAATCATTGTTGCAATGTAAACGGCTAATTACTTTCTAGTGGTTATTTAGAGACTTGCAACGGTTTCAAATCGACTTAAGCCTTTGCGATTTTTGTGTTACATAATTCTAAAAATGGTGTAATTTTATATTAAAGTTATAACAATCTTATTAATATCTCGGAAACGTAAGTGAAGTAACATGTGGTACAAATTTATTTTATCATAAGTTACTAATTTGTTAATATTTGTTACATACGAACGAGTAAAAAAACTATTCGCTTTTTAGTTTGAATAAACAATGTCAAAAACAAATAAATCCGTTATTAAGAAAGGAATAAGAAAACGAAGCTTCGTTTGGACATATTTCGAAATGGACCAAAAGAATCAAACAAAATGCAGCATATGTTATAAGATTTTACCTTACAACAGTTCGACCAGTTCAATGCAATCCCATTTATCAATTGATCATTGCATTAATTCTAAAATATCTAAAAAATCAACAACTTTACTCAACGATGACGATATATCCGATATTGAGAACGGTAATGAGAATGGTTTTGAAGAGACTGGTCATAAAAAATTAAACAGGTTATTGGTGAATTTTATTGTTGGTACCGATCAGCCGATTTCGATAGCACGTCATCCAGACTTTGTAAACTTAGTTAGTGAGTTAAACAAAAGCTACAAAATGCCTTGCATAAATACGGTGAGCAAGAAATTAATTCCATCAAGTACGGACAATCTTAAATCAATTTTAATGCTAGAATTGAAGGGATGTCGTTTCATTACAATTACTTGTGATAGTTGGTCATCATTAGGTAAAAACAGCTACCTCGGTGTGACTTGTCATTTTATTGACAAAAATATGACTCTAGTTGACCGAAACCTGGATCTTAAGTTTATGTCTGAAATGAAAACAGCTGAATATTTATTTAATACGTTAAACGAAATCTTCAGTAAATGGTCAATCAATAATAAGATTTTTGCACTAGTTACTGACTCAGGTGCAAATATTTTCTCTGCAGTAAATCAATTTGATGATAATGTTCTTAAGATTCCGTGTGCTGGTCATCGTTTGAATCTCGTGGTTAATGATCTTCTAAACGCACGAGATATAAAAGTAAAAAAATTTAAAAATGGGTCAAAGCGTTACCAAGTAAAAGATTACGACGGTAATGGAAAACTAATTAATAGAGAAATTACAGAAAGTGAAGTTAAAGAAAGTGAAAAAATTAACGAAGGCAAATTAGAAATCGCCAAGGTAATTTCATCCTGCAGGCACATTGTTGGTTCATTTAAGCATTCAGAGATGTTACAAAAAAAGTTAAAAGAAGTTCAAGAAACACTTCGTTATGAAAACTAAAATAAAGTTAGTACAGGATATAGCTATTCGCTGGAATAGCCAATTCGATATGATTGAATCTATATTAACAAATAAAACTGCATTGGATATGATAAGCATCGAATTCCAAAATATAAAAGACTATCTTCCCACTGCTACTGAATTTAAGGTGCTGGAGGATTTGTGTGATTTGTTACACCCAATTAAAGAGCTAACAAAACTTTTTAGCGGAAAGAAATATGTTACAGTAACATTCCTGTTTCCAACACTGTATTCTCTACTAAATGAAATACTTGAATCGCAACCTATTTTAACTGAACTAGTTAAGACTTTTCAAAAGGAATTATTAAAGTCTCTAAAAGGACGTTTTAAATACATTTTTGCTAATGATTTTTTTTAGCAGCTACTTTTCTTGATGTCAAATTTCGTAAATTCGAGTTTATCAAAAATGATATCTATAGATATGAATGCATTTCAAAGGCAAAAATGTTTATAAAAACATTTTATGAAATGCATCTAAAAGAAACCGAAGAAATCGATATAACAATTGAAACAAATTGTTTAAATAACACTTTGAACTCGTCAAACAGCTCAGCTGACAATACCATAAAAACATTTCAGCAATTGTCAACGTCACCTATTGCAAATAGTATTACTTTAGTTAACAACAAAAGACGAAAGTCAATCAACTTAATTGAACTAGTAACAGATAAATCTTGTTGTAATTTAATTGAGAGCAATGATAAACTTGAAAAAGAAATAAATGATTACAGTCTGCAATATTTTCATAGCTACGAAAATAGTGCCATTGAATTTTTCAAAGCTAATCAAAAATTGTTCCCGGTTTTGACACAAATTGCACGGATAATATTTTCAGTTCCAGCGACATCCGTGCCATCAGAATGCTTATTTAGTTCAACCGGTTTAGTAGATACGGAGCTACGGAACAGGCTTGCGCCAAGCTTATTGAAGCAGTTAGTTTTTATTAAAGAAAACAAGTAATCAAAAACATTTCTTTATTAAAATAAAAAAAATTATTTAGTAAAAGTGTATTTTATAAATCTTAGTAATTTAAAGCACTTGTATTCTTTTTTTTTTATCTGATGAACTTTTTTACAAACAGCTTAATTAATGACAATATGTTTTCTGCTACATTCTTTTCAATTCTGGAAAAAACACCAATATCCAATGATTGAGCTGCCATCAGGGCAGGTGCAATTAGGTGTGACGTGGTGGGCTGTCATTAAAATTTTTGTTGAGTAAAAAATTAGGTCCTTGTTTTTTGAAGTTCGACGACTGACCTGTCTAAAAGGTCTACATTTGCCGACTTCTTTAAAAGGGTTATTTTTGCCGACTAAATGCACAAAAAATGCATTTAGGAAGGTGTGTGTGTAAATGATTCGTAAATTTAAATAATCTTTCCCCGTTATTGAATGGTTTAGAATTTGTAACTAAAGAGGACTAATTTCATAGCTTGTAGCAGTAGCATATACTGTTATGATATTGCCCTTTTTTAAGAAATCTTGTTGTCCAAACAACTAATTATAAATTGGATTGTTTTATCTTTCCCTAACTTGAGGAAAATCTTTATGAACAAAAAAGTGATTAGAAGAGAGTCTTTTTTTAACTTTCTAGGAGTGATTATAGATGAAAATATATCATGGAAATATCATATTAAATCTATTGAAATTAAAATACCCAAAAATACTTCAATGCTATATATAGTTAAACCTTAACTTTATTTAGCATAAAAAATATATAATTTTCTTAATACGGAGTCTTTGAAAATTATATATTTTTCATTTAGTGAGAGTGGGGCAAAGTGGGTCGAATTTCTTTCTTTTTTAATTTGAGTGAAAGTTAAAATATATATTTTATGTTTGTCAAGGCTAAAGGATTGAGAATATGTCCTTCATGATAAGAAATAACTAAAATCTAAATATATATTATCTAACAGCTCACAGAAAGGTTTAAAGTGAGTTTTGTTAAGTGATTCACTGTACCCCAGTACTGGGGTACAGTGAAACAATTAACTCATTTGCAATTTAGTGGTAGTTAATGGGGGCGTAGCCAAATAATTTTGAGGATGAGGGTGTAAATACATTGTACACTATACTTTTGGTGCACTTTTGGTAACTAATATTAAATAATTTAAATTTTTTCTGATTGACAAAATAAAGAATAAATTTTATTGATAGCAAAACTTATTCAACCATCTAAAATCACAAAAAAAAAAATTATTTAATAAAACTTATTTAACCAACAACACAAGAAATTTTTTAAAGTGAATTTTTAATTTTTATAAACATTTTTATCACAGTGAATTAACCGTTTCACGGTACCCCCGATTCATTGTGCCCCACTATAAAAAATAAGGTTCAAGTTTAATTTCTTGGGGCATGAGTTTTATTAAAGGAAAAGCAAAACTACTAAAATGAACCATAAAGATCAGTATTCCGAATATAAAACTTTAACTTATAAAATGATTTTAACCATGATCTCCACAACAAACATAAAGATGGTAAGAGCATTTACTTTAGTTAGCTAAAACATAAATTACCTACCTAAAACCGAGAGTCAAAAATTATGTGGTAACACCTATAAATAAAGATGGGTTATATATGCGCACATAAACTTATTACATCATCGTGATGAACAAAATCATAATCTTTGAAAAAATGCTTCTTATTCACTGTGCCCCTCAATCCACTGTACCCTGACTTCCCCTATTCATAGTTTTTTTATTTATAAACTTAATATACACCAAGTTATGCTTTTTACGTTTAAATCAGAACATGCGTTATCTCCTTACATATTTCACTCTTACTTTGCAGAAATATCTCATTAATACCCATCTGATAATTTTGTAATTCTAAGATCTTATTTAAAACTCAATTCATTTCAAATTCAATACCGTGGACCATTTATATGGAAAAGTTTTTAAAAAAACATTATTAAAAATAAAATTCTTCTAAGAGCAATTCTAAGAACATCTCCTTAGAATAATTTGAAAGAGAATCTAAACGTTTTCTATAAGAAAAAAATTTCAATATTTCTTTTAATATTTCTTTTAATAAGTTCGAAATTAATTTAGCTTACCAAATATCTATTGGTTTTTTCTCGAAATTAATTGCACACTTCGAAACTCTTTTTTTCTTTCGAAATTAATTTGACTTTTCAAAATACACTTTTTTTTTTCGAAGTTAATTTGACTTTTCAAAACTCTTTTTTTTTCTTTCGAAATTAATATCACTTTTCGAAATACATTTTTTTTTTCGAAATTTATTTCACATTTCGAAATTCTTTTTTTCCTTTCGAAATAAATTTCCTTTTTCGAAATCCAGCTTTTTATTTCGAAATTAATTTCACATTTCGAAATTCTTTTTTTTCTTTCGAAAATATTTTCCTATTTCGAAATCCACCTTTTTATTTCGAAATTAATTTCACATTTCGAAATTCTTTATTTCCTTTCGAAATTAATTTCCTATTTCGTAATCCACCTTTTTATTTCGAAATTAATTTCACATTTCTAAATTACTTTTTTTTTTCGAAATTAATATGGCTAGTTCGATTATTATCGAAAGTTTTTTTAGATTTCGAAAAAAAAGAAGTATTTCGATAACGTTTTAATCGAAAATTTTCGAAAATTGCAATTTCGATAATGAACCCTAATGCTTTTATTAAAAAGTAACAAAAGTAATACAAAGTTTATGAAACGTGATTTTTTACTATAATACAAATGTGTTTATACAATTTATATATAACTCATGATATTAGAATGAAATTTGTGATCATAATATTAAAATAAATTGCAATTGTTAAGATATTTTGATATTAAAGAAAACTAAATCATAACATGCTTGCTGTAATTGGTTTATTTGTTTATTAGTCATTTTGTGAGGATGGTTAAAGAATTATTTCGAAAACCAAAATTTTGAGTGTAACATGCGTGAAATATCCGGTGAAGTTATAGCAGCACATTCTTGATTTAAGTGCCGGCGATAGAGTGATGATTTAGTGATTCCCCCAAACACTAAATCGTAGTCGGCACAAACAAGGCCGTAACAGTCAGTCGGCAAAAGTCGGGAAATTTTAAAAATTGAGGACCTTCTTTTTTTCTTTTAGGTCGGCAAAAGTTGTAATGGCACCCCTCCAAGTGACACCTACTCGAGCCAGCCCTACTTGAGTTTTATCTTTATCTTTTTTATCTTAGTGCTTCTACTATAATAAAAAACGTTATGCAAACAACAACAACAAACAACAACAGCAGCAACAACACGATATTTATTTTCCTTAAAATTTACAATCATATAATTACAATGGTATAATAATAATAGTGATAATAATAAAAATAGTAACCCTAACAGTATCTATAATATCATAAATGATAAAATCCTAATATCATTATATTAACTAGATTTATACAATTTTATTTGCTATCTCTAAAGCTATAGCGATGGTTTATATTTTATGTAAAAATCAATCTAATATACACAAGGTATATAAAAATGCAAATATCATAGTGAATTGGTGTATTTTTACAGAATATTATTTTTCAAAAAGTATTAAAATTTTTATGTAAGAGAAAAGATATTTAAAACATTTAGTTAACAAACTTTTTTATGGCTTTTAAGCTCAAATTAGTAACCAATGAGGTGATTTAAAAGTTTTATTTTCTCGAATTTTAAATTGAAAGGAGATCAACATTTTTTTTCATCTTTGCTTCTAACAAGGCTGCAAGCAACCACTAATTAGTGTTGGAAGTTACTGGAAGAGAAAAGATGAAGATTGTAGAGCAAGATAACGATTGACAGACGACTTAAAAGATTTAAATTATAATTGATATTATTTTTTGCCTTTACGTTTTAGTTTTTTTCCGCGGTACTGGTAGCCGACAACCTAAAAACATAACTATAAAATGACCTTTTTTTTTCTCTCTTTTTTTAGGTTTCTCTTACTGTTTAATGACTCTTACTGTTTAATGACTACTTAAATTACACGGCCTGATTTGTTGCATTTTC